GTCTGGTCATTCACGTCAAAGAATCGGGATCACCCAGTCTGGCTGGAAATTTAAGGTACTTAGAAAACAATCCCAAAGCACCTACAACTCTGACATCCAAAGAAAATCAAGTAGTTAGCAGACCAAACTTCTCTGAAATTCCATTCCATGATCTCTACCTTATAAGCCCACTTCTGCTGGCATGATTTTTTACATCCTTACTAATTGTCACTTACAGAACCTTCGGTTGACAACTCAAATCCTAGTCACTGACCTAACTTCTTTCCGTCCCAACATTAATGCACTCTCATCTAGTCTCATATCATAAACATACCTGTATTCTTCCTCTTCTTTGGAGTTCTTTTTGGGCTGATATTTCTTGGAGAGGTTCCTAAAATTAAAAACACAGATATATATATCAATTCAAAAGAAAACTCCTTTAGTATAACTGGACAGTCTCTGCATACAGATAATCTCAAATACTGTGGGGCTTCAGTTTTATTTGGTTGACTAGATACCTTGTCAGAAGTATGATTAATTTGATTATTTGATTTACATTGTAGTAGGACCCATAGCACCAGGCCCCTCTGTGCTCAGTCTGTATAACAGCAGTAAACTAACACACTCCAAACAGTTCATAAATTGTCTCTCCCTCACACTCTTTAGTAATAACAACAATAATAAAAATAAACCTGACTTTCATTTCTCCTGACGCACAAGATCCCTGTGCCCCATCTAAGGCAGAGACCTTTTTGCAGTCCTTAGCACTACTCGTCTTGGGCATGGGGACAAGCTGTACACACGCCACCAAGGAGGTGCTACTCAAGGAGCAAGGTCCCAGGATTTGCTGCAGCAGGTGACACTCAGGAAATCTGGCTGCATTCTGTACTTCCAAGCAGAAGGAACAAAAGAATAAGAGAGCAGTTTTGCTAAGATTCAGTGCTAGCTGCTGCACCTGTTTCTGATTCATGTTTCTATTTGCTTTTTGGTCTGCATCATGTTTTTCTGCCTTTCCAGCTTGTTTTCTCTGCTCCCTCATTTCTACTTCTTTCACGTGTCTTTTTCTTCTCTCTAGGAAGCCCAGACTCTGAACAAAACCCACAAATTCCACACAAGAAATTGAAGGAGTTCAGCGCTTTCTTACACTAAAAATAAAACTTTGAGTTAAATTCTCCATCAGAGTATCTTGTGTTAGCTTCTCCCTTTTTATAGTATGTCTGCATGTTATGACATGCAGGGATATGGTGCAGTCCCTCCACCCTAAATAGATATGATACAAATAAAAAAGGTTTGCCACAGGCTGAGCAAGGTATAGTAAAAGCACATGCCTTTATATTTTAAAAAGAGCCAAGGTTGGTTTATCTTAATATTTGACAGATCTACTTTCCCCCCGCCCTCCTTTTACATCTCTAGTTTCTTACATGGCTCCAAATATCTTTGTATCACAGGGCTCCTGAGGGATGAATGTATTAATTCTCAAATCATACCCATGGTTGAGGGGAAAAATGCAACCCTGCATGAAGGGTTAAAATACAATGAGAATAAACAAATTGACCAAGTTTGTTTTGGAAGTCTGGTACAGAGTAAGGAATAGAACTCAGCAGTTCGGAGCCTCAGAATACCTTCCTGTGTCTGGGACTTTCTCCCACATTCTTAAACATTTTTGGTTTTATTCTTCTTTTAACCTGTCACACTTAAAATCCATTATCTCAATAAACTCAGTGCGTCTCAGGTGTGTTCCTTCATTAGACAGACCAAAAAACCCAAACCAACCAAAAAACCACACAGATAATCTATTGGAGTTTCCCAATGCAGCTATATCAGCTCACTCCACTCTATAATTCAATCTCTCCTCCTTGCCTAGGATGTGAGTGATTTGTTCCTACCCGACTCATCTTCTGTTTCCTGCTTGTCTATAGCAAAACCCCCTGGGGAATCCTTGGGGCATTCCCCCAGAGAGCACAGCACCACAAAAGCAGGGGGTTGGCAACATATCTACCCCTGTAAATAATGGGACATTGTGCATCTCAAAGGCAACTAACACAAGCATTAGAGACTGTCTTTTATTTTCTCCCCCCCATCATGGCCACTGTCTAGGTCACCAAGGTCAATCATAATTCTCAGTCTCTATAAATGCTGGGAAGAAAGGAGGAGTCCTGTGCATCACTACCATGTAAAAAAAAGGTGCAGGAGGGGCTAAGGAGCTTCAGCCCTGCACTCCCCTCCCCTGCACTCCATCACTTCTGCCTCAGCACCTGCAGCCCTACTGAACCAGGGCCTCTCTGTACTGCAGGCCCTGCCTAACCCTTCTTCAGGCCTCATTTCTTCCACCTTATTTCAGAATGCAGGCCAAGAGCTACCCACCCTGGAGTGTCCTTAGCTCCTCTCCCCTCTCTCTCCTTCCCCATCTATACTGGATCTGACCTCGAGTTGTCCATTTTCTGGGTCTGGCTCACATGATTTGTATTCTTATCTCCAGCTTGATGGTCCAATCAGAAAAGTAGAAAATACCTACCAGGAATTTCCAGGAATTTAGCTACTTGTGATGTGTCTACTGAATAGCACAGAAATTTTGTGCATTTCTCAAGAATAGTAGCAAGATTCCACAGCTGTCAAATCCAATCATATGCTGCAGTCTGACTAATTATATTAAGTGTCCAAGGGCAGAGGGTGACTCTTTGACCTGTGGTTTCTCCAGCACCCATACAACAAGAGCCTTTCTTATGAATGCAAACGCTCAGTTTGAATGCCAACTTGCTGCTAGCCATTCTGCTGGATTCCTAACCCCCTCGGCTCCTTTGTGAAGTCCCAATTTCATGGAAAAACTTAACAGTGGAAGAAAGACCCAAAGCCTTAGCAATTAACCATGAGCAAATCATGAATAAACCCTAGTATGCTACTCAGTCACCTAAATAAGTCTTGTTTACAAAGCAAAGGATTTGTTAGCAGAGATGATAAAGGCATGATATCTTAAATTAATTTTTACTTTCTAATCTCTAAATTAGAGTTATTCGGTAGCTAAAAAGAATCTTTATAAGCGAAACAAATTGTCATTAAAGAAATGATGATCTTACAGATGGGCCTGAAGAGATTTAGGGTCTAAACAGATACAACTCAGAGTCCTGAGCTTGATATTTCAACTTACCTAAGCTGTTTTGCATAGCTGAGTTCAATCTCTGTTCTTTCTTTTACAAACTTGATGTATTTTTCCAGAACATCAATACCCCACTGCGTGTGTTTTTCTAAGTTGTCAAACTGGTCCTGCAATGAATCAAAAAAAAAAATTATTAGTCTCACTGAGCTTAGAGATAACTTTAAAGATAACTTTTAAAAAAATCCAAATTACGCATCACCGCAAAGAATGCACTACTAATATTTTCCATTATTAGTTAGGCATTTTTGAAGCATAGTTTTATTTTTTTTAAATCTTTAGAAGTCTGTATTTTAGTAAGAGACCAGTTCAGCAATGTATTTCATTCCCGATTTTGAACCCATTTTATTCCAAAAATCCTGGCAATTCACTGCATACAATATTTCTAATATTAAGACATACTTAAGCAGCTAAGAAATAGAAACTCTCTCACCAGGGTTTTATTTTATCCTGGAGAGATAATACAGAGCTCATGAATTTGAGGTCTACTCCTACTTAATAATTTTGATTTTAAGCTGAAAATTATAGCTTTATGCTTAAAGCCTGACAACATTATGCTTTAAAACATTGTTCAGCACAGCTAAACATTTTTCCACACAGCAGAATTTACTTCCCCTACAGTCTCGTTTGTTTCTAAACCAGAGAACATGCTAACAAATGATATCACAAAAATGATGCTAGCCATGTTTACAGCAAGTCTTCTCATCCATCCCCATTTATATATACACACTACTTTGTTCTTCAAAATATTGCTGCCCTCCAAAGCAGTCATACATGCCCTCACTGAAAAGTTCTCCAGTCAGAAGCATTTGTACAAGTCAGCTTGGGATTTCCAAATGCCAAGAGAAATGAAGCAACCCTAAAATCCAAACTAACTACCCAAGCCAACTACTTATTAGCATCTACAGAGCTAATTTAATATTTGAAATGTGGCAGAATGTGATATTCTGAATACTTATCTTGACAGAAGCGTAATGTAAATTAGATCTTTAATATCAGCCTGCATTAGGTCACTTTGTTTCATGTGGAAAGTTAAATATAGCTTTGTACAGCTGCGATGCAAAGGTTAGATTTGCAGTGCCTTCCAAAATCCACAGTGATGGATCCTGGTGGATGTTTAGCTGCTGCAACTAAGGCTTCCGACTGAAGTGATGCTTCTTTCCTTTGGGGCTGTGACTTTCAGGTTGCAGAGCTATCAAGCCATCATCACACCGGTATAAACCCACTTCCTCCAATTCACAGAACAGAAATGCAGAGAAGACTACTATGAAGCCTAGGACACAAATCTGTTGCTTCTAAGCAAAGACCACTTTGTTGCAACAGATCTGTCTCCAAACGCCAGTTCAGCTGCTGTCGGGAGAGCTCCTACTAGCATATGGCTGAACCTCATTGAAGGAAAATCTGCAAAATTCTCCCGAGAAGCTAGTTAAAGCAGCTGGCAAAATGCAAGCAACAGGACACAGGGTTTGGGTGTCTGCAAGTTTGCTCTAGTTTAGCATAAGGTAGGACTTAAAACCCATTCAGGCAAACCAGACTTCAGTTTGAATTGTTAGCTTTAACAACTAAAGAGGCACTAGGGGGTACAGCAAAATGGTAATAGAGCAAAGTAAGAGAAACAGTCACGAACTTAAGACCCACATGCCAGGAACTAAGACAAAACCCTTAGGGCTAACTGGAAAAGATTCAACATACACCAAGCAAAACCCTGAGATCCAGCAAAATAAGTTGCCCTTAAACCAAAGCAGTATCTTTCAGACAAAAAGGAGGATGTACGTATTGTGCAGCAAGGGAAGACATGTAGTAAGCTAGGACATATTTGCATATAGACAAACCCTCATTTCATAGGCCTCCACAGCTGGTGAGGACACAAAGCCGTCACGGTACCACCACAGACCTCTCCTCGTCCTGGAGGATTCAGATCAGGCAGAAACACACTGTGCTGTCTGGAGCTAACTCCGGTGCAGGGTCACCTTTCGCTCTCGGTTTCAATTATACAACCGCTAAATCTCTCGGACTGTGCTGGCATCAAGAAAGCAGCACACAGAGTCTTTAAGGATTTTGGTAAAGGCGACTCATACTCGTCAAAACCCTTCCCTTTCACAATCTGCATTATTTAACATGAATATATGCATATGAAAAAAATATCCCATAGGCAGCCAATTACTCTTTACTTGTACTACACCTTCCTCAGCTCCAAAGATCTCTGCAAGCACAAACCCCTTTCACCACCACCGATGCCTCCATTTTCAGAGCATCACTTAGATCACAATACGACAAAAATGGAAGCGGCCCAGGTGGCTGGCTCTGTTTGTTGTTACCCCACAGATGAATCTGCTGGGCTGTTCCAGAAGTCTGACAAAATCAAGCTGGGAGGAAGAATACTCCACACTGTGCAGTGCAGAGGTGAGTACACAGCGGTGTGACAGACTGACCAAGGGAATATGCCCCTTTTCTGTTTATAGAAGTGAACATAAGACACTTGTCCTGCTCTGAGCTGTAACCAGAAGAACCTTAACTCAATCAAATGTGAACACTGACCTCCACTATCACAAAGGGGAGTTGAAATTCAGCTCCTTTCTGCAGTTTTTGCTAAATATAGAAGTTTCTGCCATTTTCTGGTCATTGAACAGTTTTGTTCAGAGAGTTATTTCACTGAACAGCCAACACCCCACAGAGGTATTTTATATTGGGGTCAGTTCTCTATTTTAGTTCTTTTGTGCGTGCGTGTGTGTGTATTTAAGGATGCACTGTGGAAAAAAAGGCCAGTAAGACAGGGTCAGGGAACACCTTTGGTTGCTGAGCATGAGAGCCCAAGGAAAACACACTGCAGCCAGGCCCCTCATGCAAGCAAGTTTCACAGCTGAAGGCAGGCAAAGGCTGTACATTAAAGCTAATGAGGCATGGGACAAAAGAGGACAGAACACCATCATCAAAGAGTGTAACCTTTAAATCAAGCAAACCCACAGTCTTGGGTACATGCAGTAGATGTAGAAATCAAGCTTGTTTTTAAAAAATAATAATAGAGAGTATTTTGCAACGATATACCTTGAAGTGATCAATATTTAAAAAAAAAAAAAAAAAGTAACTACAATACTTCCACTGGAATTCACTATGGAAATATGTTACTATTTGCCACCTTAAGCTTTTCTTTTAAGCAAGCACCCTCGCTTTTCTGCAGCTTGCTTCAGTTGCCCAAACAATGTCACTTTTATTTTTTGTACAACAGACTGCTCTATGTATCCAAAATTTCTTAAGCAGCAAGCTACTAGAAAACCAAATGAAGTTTTTCAAGAAGCCTATACTCCAGTATTATATTTTACCAAAATTTTCACTGAACTTCAGAATTATTTCCTAGCTCAAGACTTTTTTTTTTTAATTGGTATTAATCCCAACAAAAATCCGTTGTCCACAAGCAGATCAACATCAGCAGATAAATCAGATAGTGTCTTGGTTAATGTAAGCCCTGGCAGCTCTGTGGGCAATAAGCTGTCTGGACTCCAACTGCAGAACTCAAAGAGGATTTTCAAAGACAGAAAGACCAATGAAGCACCAACGTCTCACTGCAAACCCACAAAGGCTGCTGGCTAGGGATGCATCTACCTTACAGAAAAGAAAGAATGCAACTTGAAGATGCATCTGACCTAGGTCTGAAGGAGTTTGCTTTGAAACCAGGAGCAATCTAATCACAGCAGCAAAGTGCAGCAGCCTTGGCACGGGCTGGACACGTGCTCAGCAGGCAGCGTGTGCCACGAGAGCCACGCAGGGACAGGCACCAGCTGGAAGGGGGCTCAGGTACCTTCAGCAACTGCTGCCTCAGCTTTGGGTTGCTATCTAGGCAGTCTCCTGTGTTTGCTTGCGCAGCCCCCTCAGCCCTCCCGGTAGGAATGGCATTAGAAAACACATTCCACAAGGCTCAGAGATGAGCAAGGAGACAGGGCAGGAATGGTGACGGGGCGGTCAGGGACCTCACTCCCACAGCCCCGCAGCACGTGTGGGCAGGGGCAGCCGCGCAGGAAGGTCGCCCTGTGCTTGCTTTGACAAACACTGAAGTCTTGTCTAGAAGCATTTGCTGCTTCGCCCTGGGCGAGGGACTGGCTTACAGCTCTCTCGGGCAAACGCTGCTCTGACAACGCCACCCGGTACCAAAGCAGCGCTCTCTACAACCTTTCTGTATCATCTATATCATCCGGTCTGCCAAACCTCAGTATCTTCCCACTTTCAAGTCTGCACTGACTCACCCTTGCGCTATCAACAGCTTATTAAAAGGAGAAGTAGATTTTGGACTGACAAGCAAGATGTGCACCCAACTAAACTGCTCGCAGAGCTGCAACAGGCTGCTCTGCGGCAGACTCCCCTGGCCGCCCGCGAGGGCTCTGCCCACGTTCCCCAGACACGGAGCCATGTGAGCAGACACGCTGCAAAGTGGGGTTTGACTGCAAGCACTTTGGAAATAAAACAAAAAATCCCACCCCACAACACGCGCATTTGTTCACTGCTTAACGTGTTCTTAGAAAAAAAGAAAGAACTTGAGTCTTTCCAGTATGGGAGCCACACATTCAAATATCTGGCACGCTTGGAAAGCTGCATCCCTAAGGCAGTATGTTTCTAACTTTATTTCTATTTTCCATTAATTCTCTCCCAGGATTTTTACCATGGCCCACACAACTTAGCATTCATGCATTCCCTTTGAATCTCTCTGCAAGCTTTCTGCACTGACAATGCTTGGAATGGAAATAGCCATGTCTGTCTGGTTTTGCTCTTTTTTAATAACCACTACTTAAAAATGGCAAATGCTCCGACTTCTTCACTGTTCTGCTGAAATCACATTCCCCTATAAAGCAAAACATTTTGGGAAGAAGCAAGTTGGCCATCAAAAGAAACCTTTCTTCCTACTTCTAAGTGAGATAACATGAAGTACAACCAATTACTGCACAATAAAGAAAAAGAAAGAAAATGTAATTCATTGGGCCTTTGAAGACGAGCTCAGAAAGATGCTGCTTATTCTTCAAGAAAGCTTTCATCTATTGTGAAATAGTTCAACTTAAGGCTTGTACAAACCCTATGATAGATGGGACCTTAATTTGTCACGAGCAGGCTTCAGTATTAGTAT